ATTATTATCTTTGGCTGCTTTTTCACCTGTTTACAATCTATATTTTGCTTTGTTCATTAATCTCTTTCACTCAGGTTCTATGAATAATCTCCATCTTTGCTTTTCTGTGATCAGGTCACATGAGGCAACAGGTCCAGGACCCCAAACATCCGTCTTAGTAACACTCTCCAGCTCCTCCTGAGGACCGCAATTGAAATACTTAAGTGTGACTCAAAGCCATCTTATTAGATGCATAAATTTTCTTGTTTTTGTTTTTAAAAAAAATGGCCTAAATTCTGTTACATGAGTTAGTCATTTTAGTCGTTTAAGAACTTACTTTAATTTAAAGTCTAGTAGTAGTATTAAAAAATTTGTAAAAAATTACTAAGTTGTGAGTTCCACTTCTTTAAACTTCAATTAACTGAATTATGAACCAAAGTGTTTACTATTTATTTAGAAGGTATTTTATTTTAGTTAGCTCGTTGTTTACTTGCATGTGAAGCTCTTAATTTTTTTTCTTAAACAGTTTATGTTTGACCCCTTTTGAGAGGTTAATTAAATGTTTTGTCAGGTTTTGGTGTACAGGGATAATTTCATTTCATTTTTAATCTACATTCGCTCCAAGCCTCGTTGATTTCTCTGTCTAAAAGCCACATTTGTCAGAAAAATCCTGTCGCTGCTGGTGAGCTGTCACCACCTTCACAATCAGCCTCTGTCTAACTGCACCTCACCTCTCCTTCGGTTGCACTCGCCGTGTGCGTGTGTGTGTGTGAGTGTGTGTGTGTGTGTGTGTGTGTGTGTCTGTCAGAGTAAGAAATTAACTTTTTCTCTCCCTGAAGGCGCTTGATTTCTTGGAGGGGCCCTTATGACCGAACAAGGCTCAGAAACGTTTGCACAAACACTCAGAGGTCAGATGTGTGATTTAATCATTTTGCACTGTAAAAAAAACTTGTTGCATTAAAGCTACTCATTGCAAACTATAAAATTAATAATAAAAAAAGATTATCCTGAGATATGTACGAGTGTGCAAGAGTTGAAGTTTTCCAGATATACTGATATAAAATTCTGCACTTCTGCACAGTTTTTTTTTTTCAAATTTAAGGACACTTAAGCAATTAATATGAATACCAATAACAGAACCTGTTCACCCGCTCTGGTGAGCTGCAGGCAGGTGGATTATTTGAGGCCGGTGTGACCTGACTGGTCTGGCAACATTGTGGCAACGAAGCGGCAGCAACAAACAGCGGCTAAACCTGTTGGTTTGGGGGGGAAAAAAAGTGAAAACGTGAAGGAGGGGCAAAGGGGAGAGAGGAAGTGTTTGATGAGGAAGATGAAATCCGGCTTCCTCTTCCCTCAACAGCCTCCAGAGGAACAAGGAGGCCACATTCAGCCGCCGTTCCTGCACCTGTATGAAAGCGTTTCCCCCCCATCCACCCACCCCCCAAAAAAGAATAAAACCTTACAAACACAAGGCATGTTTTCAAGTGGCTGAGACAACCTGCTCGGAGGAAAGGATTTAAAATCAGGTTCATTCATAATCACAAAGAGCAGCCAGATAATATTCTCTGCTACCGGTGAATAGCTGACACCTGGTAAGATTTACTTTCACACAGGCCCTAAGGCTGGACAACCCCACCCTCTACCTATAAGCGAGCATGTCCCTGCACAACATCCTCCAGGGTGGCGATGGAAGGGGAGCGGACATGAGCAATGTGTGACTTTTTGTCATCTTTTTTTGTCTCCACCCCCACCCCCTTTCTTTGACTTTCTGCTCTCTTCTGAAAGATTAACCACATCCTCCTCTCCTGAGAGATATTTCCCTCCTTCACAAAAGCCTGAAAGGATTGTTTTCTCTTTTCTTGGGATAAAGAGTTTTGTATGTGTGTGTGTGTGTGTGTGTGGGGGGGGGGGGGGTGCAAATGCAAGGAAAGGTGGAGGAGGGAGAAGTTCTCACAATGGTAAGATTTCTCCTGAGGAAGTCCTGACATCGGAGTGGAAAACAGACAAATAAAGCTGATTCGTTCACTCGTAGCTCGTCTCTACGTGAATCCTCTGATAACCGAAGCTGCACTTTATTTCCATATTAGCTGAATTTAGTCAAATGCTGGGAGATGAACAGCTCCTCTATTCCTACCTGCAGGCCAAACCACAGATAGTGGAGATAAATGCAATGCAGACCTGTGAACCAAATGCTGTGTAAAGGTCACGCTCCAAGATTGTTTGTATTCAAAACAAAAGTAACACGGGTCTACGGCTGTTGCTTCAGGATAAATCTGCTCTAGGGTTATAAAAATGATTGGTTTTAAGTGTTGATGAGTGGCTGTTTTGACTCTTTATCCCAGCTTTCTCTCATTTGGCTAATCACTAATCAATATTTATGCGTCATCACTGCCCCCTAGTGGAGGTTTGAGGAAGCACTTATACTAAATGTAAACATCAATCTAACAAAGCTGATTAAAAGCATTGTTTTGGAGGAGTTAGCTTAAAAACATCAATTGAAGATTTAAATTAGTTGTTAAAAAGACACGATGTAAATTAACCATAACTCTTATAGTGTGAAACAATTTGTGAGCTGTATAATCAGAAAATAATCATAAAATAAGGCAACACCAAAATTACTGTATGTTATAGTATTAGTATTACTATACAGCCAAGGATCAAAACACAGTCAGTCAATAAATTAATTTTATTATTAAGCTAAACATTATTTAATTTGGTTTTAGAGGCCTTAATTCTTCAAGTTTTCACAGGTTTTATCCAGTGGTAAATGCAATAACTAAACTCTACCACGTGGGGGAAACATTTTCAAAAATGTAGCCTCGCTGCATTCACAGGTCTCTGCTTAAAATTGCAAAACACACTTATCCACTAATTGGTAATTTCATTAAAATATGGCCTTTCTCCTTATAGTTCAAACAATTTTAATCTGTGACAAATGCTAAACCACAGCAATAAGGAATTACCTCTAATTGACTTTTAATTGAATGTTACATAATTGAATTGAACGATTGCCAAGAGTCTTTGAACGCAACACGGACGCTTTCATGTCAGTGTGAAACTAGCAGCTGTCACATTTCTGTGCGTCTGTACTTCAGAAACGACACGTTCCTTTACTTGTAAGAGGTAAGGATTGACATATTTAGTTATAGTTAATGACTATAATGTAATGTTTTGTGTTTTAGTGGCTAACGCGGGTTTAGTTAGTTTTAAAATAATCTCCGCGGGGTTGGTCAAGTTAACAACAGTGCTAGCTAGGTTAGCATTTCCCACGTTGAAGCTAATGGCTGTCACTGGACTGCTAAAGGCTCGAGTTGACGAAGATTTATGGAAGTAGTTTATGAACTACCGGACCTGAAAGCCTCTCCAGCAGTTTTAGGCTTTGTATAGACATCTTTGTGTGTTTTAGACAAGTTTTATGTCGGAAAAGATAAGCAACAGTCGGCTATGCTAAGCTAATTACCTGAAATTGCTACACTTTTCACTCATCTGGACAAATCATACCACAGAAATTACTTAATTACGTATATTTTTGGTATTCCTAAGCACCCACAAGCCGGAGAGGATAACTTAAAGGACCTAGTTGAGTTAATAAAGTAATTAGCTCAGTTTGTAGCTAACAGATAATGCTATTTATAGAGGCTGCTATTAAAATGTGCTGTTATATATAAGGGAAAATGTATTCAGGTTTCGAAAATCTACATATCCTAGATTATTAACCTTACTTCACTGTGGTTAGTTAGTCCTTTACTTAAATTACGAGGTAAAATGCTGGTTGATAAACGATAATATCTACTTCCAAAAGTCCTTGTTAGTTTTTTCTCCACATTGTAGATAAAAAAGTCAAACTAGCAGCTCAGTTTTCATTATGTCATCATTTGATCATCAATACTAAAACTGGGTGAGCTGCAAACTAATGATAGCTTTATATGCTTGAATCTACAGTGCACTTTCTTGTTTTACAGCAACACCACTTAAATTTCAGTGCCTATCAAATAAGTTTCAGGGAAAAGTGAAGTCTGCTGTTTTCGTCGAGGTGTTCAGTTTATAAATTTTAGCTTAACCAGGAAAAAGTTCACCTGTTCACTCATTATCACTCATGCGTGTAGTTCTTTTTATTTATTTAAAACACTGTGTACTTATAAAAGTTCATTCACTTGAAAAAACAAGTTTTCGACTTGGCATTCTTGTAAACAAAACTAGTGCTAGTGAGGTGATAAATCATCAAATTTCTAAAAACTACATTTTGAAGATTTTGACATGGATAATTTGAACTCTGAAAAATTCCTGCTGTGACTAATTTTGGCAACATAAGTGACAAATGTAGCTGTTAAATTTTAAATGGCAGAATGGATATTTAAAGTAGCATCAAACAAAACGAAGAACTAAGAAGATGCTGGAGTATAAATGTACTCTGGTGTTTTCTGTCCCTGTTTTATTTATTTTTTTGGACACGTTAAATGTTTACATTTTCGTCCTGCAGACGCTTTAGCTGCTAACCCTGCATCAGTGGCAGCTGATATCAAGTCAGAWTCTCTGACAGTAGCTTTTGTGGGAAAACACGGCAGAAACGTACTTATCAGATTTCTTTGTAGATTCCTGCATATAAATGTCCGCGAGAACAGGACACGGCTTGTTTCTGTGGTATCACCTCATCGCGCAAATCCGATACTTCCTAAACCTGAATCAGCTCGAGGAATCTCGTTGGTAATCTTTGTGGAGTTAAGCTGCTGAGAGATTTTAAGTTTTCTCTGTTTTGGAAATTTTAAACCGGGTGGTTAAATAACACGTGAGGGGATGTTCCAGCATTTGCTTTGAGCCCTTTTTAAGGCAGACACCGTATAAAAACTTGCCTGAACCAGAGGTTTCCAGCATTTTAAATGGTTCAGATGTCAAACATGATCGAGAATAAAAACAATTAAAAAAAACTTTATATTTCTTCATTGCTTTGTCTTTGCCACTATTAGAAATAAAGTGCACAGCTTACATAATATGAACTAGTTGTTTTTTTTATCATAAAAAAGCCATGTCAGTTCCAAGTTTTCCTCATCAGTATCAAGTAAGTTAGTCTGTTAGGATAAACTGATACAGTTCCTGTGTTTAGTTCAGGGGGGTCTACTAGTCCTGGTCGTTGATGGCCTCTGTTCTGCATGCTTTACCTGTCTTTCTGCTCCGACACACCTGATTCAAGGATTAAATTAACTCTTAGAAAGGTGTTTATCACCCATTCATTCACATCAGGTGTGTCGGAGCAGAGGTGACTATAAAACATATTGACCCTTGAGGACCAGGATTGGACACTTCCTGGTTCAGATTGACCCTTTGTTTTGAGTTCTGGCTGGATTTAAATAAATAAAATAAACAAAAATATTATCCTGGTCTACATTAAGTGATGCAGTTTGAAAACGTGTACCTGTTGACATGTTTTCAGTCACTTTGGCTGTTTCTGTAGGTAAACAAACGCATGTGATATTTAGCTGCTCTTCACAATTTTAGCTTTCACACATCGACGTGAGTAAAACCTGATCTTCATGACATTGCAGCGAGTACTGTTAAACCTGCCAAAGCTGGTTCTTTTTTTTTCTTCAACATCCTGTGAAAGACGATCTGTGTTCCTCCATCGGTGCGTGACCCCTCTACCCCCCCGTCTCTCCCTTATTTTCCCAGCATGGCTCGCGGGCATCAAAAGATTCAGTCGCAGCAGAAGAATGCCAAGAAGCAGGCCGAGATGAAGAAGGCCAAGGGCCACGATCAGAAGACGGCGGCCAAGGCAGCACTGGTGTTCACCTGCGCCGTATGCAAGGTGGGTTTGCCATCCAAAAGAGACAAAAATGGACCATTACAAACTTTTATCCTTTTTTTTTTGTTTTGATTAATTTGTTGGTTGTCTTCTTACAGTCTCAGATGCCAGATCCGAAAACCTTCAAGCAGCACTTCGAGAGCAAGCACCCCAAATCCCCTCTGCCCCCTGAGCTGGAGGGAGTCGAGGCGTAAGCAGCCAAACTGGACCCCAGAACCCCTCAAAGGGCCAGAACAAACTCGGCACATGGAGAAGTTACCGTTATCTTTGAATGCCTCTTCCCGGTCCAGCTCTAACTTGCTCACGCTCAGATACATGCAGGGCTATAAATCCAAATCTGGTGATGACTTCAGGGCCCACAGTATGAACTCAAACTCACTGTCTTGTTCTGAATATAACTCTTTAACTAGGCTTCGGTGGATTGATTATCCTCCTGAAGCGTGGGTTCGTATTTGGTGGGAGAACGCAGACGTTTAGGGCGGCGACAAACGGGGCCGCGTTCATTTCAATCGAGCTTTGAGCAGCGAATCAAAAGGAGGCTGCGACCTTCTCTCAGTTGTGCAACACTGTAACAAATCTGCAATATCTCATTTAGCTAATCATACTTTGTTGTTGGGGTGTAAAAATGTGAAACTCTGCCAGTTTGCTGCTCAAATTGTAAGTAAATATAATTACTGGAGCCTGCCTGCAAGATCTGTATGCTTGGGAAATGAATGTGTGCTCTGATAATGTATTATAACACTGTTTTAATAAATTTTACTTTGTGGTATATCTTTTGGGTAGTGTTTGGGGATGAATCAGGCATTTCTGTGGTTAAAGTTATTTGAAGAACACTCCCTGTCTGATCTGATGGGTGTGTTTCACATCTGTGTCGCTTTCACTAACATGGAATTTGGGCTGGTTTTACACAGCTTGTTGCACTAAATTATGCTATTTTTTTGTCCTTTAGTCTGGTATTTTCCTTCACATAGGTCTTCACTTCTCTGACAAGCAACTCAGCAGACCAGCTTTCTATCTTTGGACATTAATTATTGAAAACAAAGAGGGTTAACCAGCTTCACACGTTTGTGTTTTGTGCATCAGGTTCAATCCAGTCAGTCTTCAAAGGCTTTTTATTTTATTAGAATTCAACCACTTTGTTAAGACTACCGATCAGGCGAACCACGCTGCCTGTGGCTTTAAGGCCTGCAGTGATTCGGTTCAGTGAGTCATAGCCCACATTGTTCCCCCCAGAGTCCACACACATCGTCCACATCCTTCCTTCCCCAGCTGTAAACTTGTGAATGAAATAACACAGCACGTGTTCATTCACATAAACATAAAAAAAATAATTAGCTGGAGTGTTCTGGTCTGTCTTGAGTTAAGCAGTGGGGCAGAAACAGGAAAAGAGAAGCATTTGTGCAAAGGAAAGGTTTAATTGAGTAATTTAGTTTTAATTAGGAGGAATTCTCCCCGGTTGGGTCGCCTCTTCTCCACAAACCTCTGAGCTCTGAGTGTGCTTTAATGAGGGAACGTCCAGATGGGCTAATTTTACAAGTTAAATTTGGACCAGATTAAGCGCTCTTTTTCATCTTGACCTCAAGTCGTAGTTTTCTGAAGATGATACATGTTTCTTTTGAGACAGCTAAAGAGTCATAAGCTATTACTCAGCTGTTATTGAGGGGGTGCAGTGGATGACGAACACTTTACTGATTCTACGAAACAAAAAACGTGACTGCCTAGTGCAGGGGTCTGCAACCTGCGGCTCTGGGGCCACATGTGGCTCTTTGGTCTCTCTACATTGGCTCTTTGAAAATGTAACCAAACATAACAGAATATTTTTGTTTTGTTTTTCATACTCAACAAAATCAACTTGTGTGCAAATATGTGATCATAACTAATAATACAAAAAGTAAAACGTTAGCTCATGCTAGCCTGTTTACTTAAATAATCCATTTTCTTCCTACGATCTTTCTCTCAAGTCCATCAGAATTACCTTTAAAGAATTTGAAGACTACATAATAATAATTAGGAAAAAAATATGTCTGAATATTTCAGTTGTACTAGTTTTTTATGAAATTCAATATAAACTATATACAGTATTTTTTCTTGTTTACATGGATATGGTCTTTTCATTTGTCCTGATGTGTAAAAATAATGATAAATAATAAAATTCACAAAATACTTCTTAGTTTTATGTCACCTCTACTGGCCGTAAAGGTTCCCAAAAAGGCCTCGAACAGGCCCATGGACCACCAGTTGGTAATCACAGTTGTAGCTTGTTTTGTGGCTCTGCACACATTTTATTAGTGTGTCATAAACGGCTCTTTTAACTGTAAAGGTTGCAGACCCCTGGCCTAGTGGAACTAGATGGACATATGTGGAGGCTGCTGGACCACGACTTCCTGGCAGGCCAGAGGGAACAGCCACAGTAATTTAAACGTGAATTTATTTTGAAGTTCCCAAATTTCAGAAAGACAGGAAATAACTGTTTAAACGCATGTTAAACTTTTTGATCTCATTACTACTAACCCACGTGATGAATTTAGCTGATTTTTACCAGTTTCTCATTCATCAAATTATGTAGGAAAGACTTGCACTAAAATATAAAACTGTCCTAATGAGCAGCAGTGTTTTGGAAATACAAAATTAATGTATTAATATTTCTTTTCTGTTTATTTCAAAATATTGTTTTGTTTTTTAATTTGCTTGAGCTATCCATTTTTGTCTTCTAGCTGTTATCTACCAATCTGCTACTTTTAGCTACCTTTTTTTGCGGCCATGTAGCCTTTTGCAACTTTTAGTTTTCTGCCACCTTTTTAATTTAGCTGGTGTTTTGCTACTTATATATGTGACCCATCACATCGAAACGAGGATTAAGTCCAAAAGTTGTACATGGAGAAAAAGGCAAATATAGTGTTTTGACTAAAATGTTAACAAAAAATGCATTTTGTCAAACAATAATAAATAAAAGCCTTATCAATGTATCATTTGAAAGAACTGTCTGAAATATAATCAAAAAACAAAATTTTGAAGCACTTTTTTGAGCAGTAGCAAAAAAACCTGATTTTGGGGAAAAACGCCTTAAAAATTTGAGATTTTCCCTGTGAGCTAGCAAGGTTTTGTTTCTTTTTAGCTGGAAAATCTCATTATTCAAATATAATTTGAGGTTTCTTCTTTATGAGTACATTGAAAATTCCTCATTAAAATGACATAAAATTAGGATTCAGACCAAATATTTATGTATTATTGTAACCAACAAGATAAATTAAGTCATATACATGGATTTAATTATGATATCAGAATAATCCAGGTATCAAAATGTAGCTTTTAAAGCCAAGAATTTGAAAATATAATTAGGTCATTTTGACCAAATTTGACTTAATCCT